TTTCCAAGGCACCTGCCTGGTCACTCCACCTGCTGAACCAACGTGCTTCCTACCATCATGAAGCATTCACTGTCAGTGAGACACCCTGGCTTGCTCTGCATCTCCCGCCCAGGTGCCGCTCCCTTGATAGATGTGTACTTGTCCTCACCGCACCACCAGGCACTCCCAGTAATGGGAGTCAAATGACTTCCCTTTGCAGAAGAGTAGTTAAGGATCCACCCCTTGATGGAATCCATTCGTTCTTCTCTTTGGTTCTGTTCCCTATGCTCCCCATCACCTGGTCTCTAACTTCTGTTCCCTGTCCCCACCCCCGGTGCCCATAGCACATGGCTCTCACTGATGCCAGAATCCATCCACTGGCCCTGCCCTGGCCTGCTCTACCTGATTTCCTTGCTAAGTCACTGTGGATATCCTAGGACTCCACCTGAGCCCAAAAGAGACCAACTGGAAGGCTGCTGGGCCATGTCCCGCAGATTGGCACCTGTAGGGTCCTTCTCATACACCTAGAAGCAGGGCTCAGCCAGACAGGCCATGGACACTGGGCACAGAATATGGCATCCAGAACCTGGGCTCTGACTCTCATGAGTCAGAAGCCACTGCCTCGGAAGCTTCCACATCAGGCAACCACCATGCATACATGGAAGCTGTCTCTCCTTCCAGGTGAGGCTGGCTGGTTACCTATCAGAGTTGTCTACAGGCCTCTGCACTGTGAAGCCTCCTTAGGGAGGCTCAATGATTCACAGGATGTGCAACGCTAGTCCACCTAAAATTAACTGAAGACAAATGCTACAAACAGCCATCCCCTCTGTGTCTGTGAGACTGCTGTCTTTAAAATTAAGAGCAATGCTTAACTCTTTCCATGCATGGAGAATATCCCAACCTCACAGAGCATTTTAAATCTACAGACTTCTGTACTGCTCATATCTGGAAGCTGTCTGGGCAGGGCCAGCCCTGCCTGAGTGTTGCTTCTCACCAATCACAAGGGTGAGGTACCCAGTTCTAGACTCAGGAAGGGATGGCTGTGAACAAGGACCAGAAAGGGGTTACAGCCAGCCCTCAATGAAGCCAAGCTAAGATGGATATAAATGCAGAGTTGGATGCTAAAATGGATATAATGCAGAGTTCTAGAATGGCGTATTTTCAAGTGTTAAATGTTGCACTTAAAATCAGCAAAAGATGCCTAGAATTTACACTACAGCCCCGGTAGCTCTGAGTGCTCAGGCCAAGGCCACAGAAGAGAAAGGTCTATGGTTCTGGTTTTGGGTAGGTCCCAGCCAACGGAGTTATGGAAGGTTTCTGAGCATGTGACAGACTGGAGCCAGCCCATTGATGGTTTATGGGCTCACATGAGCCTGAGGAGGTCATCAGGGAGAAGAGCAAGAGGCCCAGGCCTTCTCTAGCCTCATGCCCGAGCCTGCTTACTCTCAAACAGCCTACAGAGTGCAGGGAAGGTGGAGAGTGCTAGTGGGCCCCAAGGAAGCACCAGGTGTTCAACACAAGGGTTACCCTTTCATCCCAAAGATCACACAAAAGCCTGACTAAAAAGGAGGGGAGACACCATGCTGTGGGTTCTGAAGGTAGAACCCCAGTGGCTAGTGGAGAGGGTGCAGGGCTCCATGGAAGAGGCCCTTGCTGGACACCCACCATGCAGAGCCTGTGGGCATCCTGGCCAGAGGGAGGGCCATGGGACCATGCTCAGAAGAGCTAGGCACCAAAAACATAGCTACAAAGGGAAGCATCTGCCTGAGGGAGACCACTCTTCTGAGCACAGACAGACATGGAGAGGAGGGGGAAATGAGCCTCCCAGCCCCTATTGAATGCTCCCTCAGGAGGGTGTCTCCACACAGGGATTAGGCCGGAGGGTACAGCCTGAATCCCTGCCCCAAAGTCCCTACCCACCCCCAGAATGTTCACAGAATGGGACAGAACCAGACCCAGACCTGAGCAAGTCTCAGAGCCAAGGGGCACAAGGAATGGGCAGCCCCTTGGCTGCCACCTTCCTGTTCCCAGCCCACAGGCCTGGCTTGCATTCTAATACCAGCAGAGTCCTGGGCCCCACTTTGGGAATACCTCATCTTTCAACACAATCCTGCTCCTACAGAAATGACTCAAAGCAACACATTATTTCCTGAGAGGCAAATCACAGTGCTTCATAGAGTGAGGGCTTCAAGAGTCATTTGCCAGGAGTGCTACTGCTTGAGGACCACCCTCCACCCCACACACACACACCATTTCACCTGCCTTCTGTGGCACAGAATCGTTTCCCTAAAATGTCACAATAGCAAATACAATTCCCCATGCTCACCAGGACTCTTAGGGTTCTTTATTTAATTTCTGTTTTCTCTTCCTATTTCCTTTCCACTTAGTTCAATTCCCCACAACATATGTCGGGTTGATAACATGCTCTCCGTCTAGCCTGCATGCCATCAAAGCCCTAATTTATTCTGAGCACAGAGGAAAATCCATCTTGCCGCTTTCTGCCCTCTCCATCCACCCCCTCAAGCTGCAGGGATGTGCAGGCTCCAGGGTTTGCCCCCTGCTGGTGCCCTCATCACACCTGGTTGCTTGGCTGGTCTGTCTCCCACCCTCTCTTACCCTCAAGTTAACTGAGCAGGATTCAGAGAAAGCCGGCAAACCATTTTAAGCAGTTGCCAGAGGCTCGCCCTCTAATTACAACAGAGCACAATGTTCCCAGCCAAACAGGAAAACACAGTCTCTTAAACAAAAGTGTGTTGAAATAAAGCAGGCTGAACAATGGTGGGACTCACCATTGCTGTTGTCTGTCAAGGTCACCATAGACCCCATCTGCCTCATGCAGACCCCCAGTAGCCCCTCCCATCCAGGAGCTACTCCTACCTCTGCCCTCTATCTCCAAGGGAGTCCAGACCCTGCTTTGACTTCCAGGCACAAGTGACACCTCACTGCACCTTCTCACAATAAGAATAAAGGCTGTCTGTAAGTGCCAACAGCCAGTGTGAATCTGGTATGCCATGAGTCAGGGCAGGGGATGAGCGCAGAGTGGTCCTGCAGGAAGCAGCTGGGAGGGCAGGGGATGAGAGCAGAGTGGTCCTGCAGGAAGCAGCTGGGAGAAGTAGAGGAGCAGCAGAGGTGCAGCCCTTGCTGGAGGTGGCTCATTTCTTCACTAGAATGTAAAGACCATTTGGGCCTGGTCCAGTCTCAGCATGAGTGGCCTGGGGTTGGCCCAGAGGGACTGCAGAGATTTATAGGAGGATGAGGAACCTCCTGCCTTAACACATGGTCATACACAGTAACTATGAGATCTCTCCTACCCCATCTCTAATCTGAGGTCATCTGACCCAAGAGGTTAGTGATGTCTGCTCAGAGCCTACAGGGACACTGTTAACCCAAGCCAGCAAGGGTTAGACACAAGGCCATTGGAACCTGAAAGGCCAGGTCAGCCTGGAACTCTGACCTGAACCTCTCACCTAGAATCTATCAAATTCTTCCAAAGACTCCCTGGGAGCCAGCCAGGGAACAGGAATGTATACTGGCCAGTGGGAACCCACCACACTGACCACAGTCACACTAAGTGACTGCTGTACACCAGGAAAGCTGGGACTTTCTCTCTGATGAACAGGCATATGAACCAGCACGCCTGCTCAGCTAGCCCTGTTTTCCAGTGCCCCCAGGGACAAGAAAACACACTGTGGGAGATGGTGCTGAGTATACAGGAAGACTTACTCTATCTCACTTAGATGTCTCTAAGTCATATCTTCTCTTAGGATCTACATGTTCCCAAAGCCAAGCAATGAGGGGAGCCAGGTGGGCCAGATGGCTCCAGGTCCAGCAGCCCTGCACATACCAGTGGGGTAGGCAGGCTGACACATCACAGACTGGGCCTGAGGCTGGGGGAGGCAAGAAAGGAGTGGTGGCCAGTCTAGGGCCCCAGCAACTGACTGCATCGAAGGTCCATGCAGTGTTAAGTATGCCCATGCGGACAAGGGCAGCAAGTGAGGTGAAAAGAGTCTCCTTCCCCATGCACTCACAAGTGTCAGGGGCTGGAGGGCAGGCCCTCACCTGCCTACCTCCCCTGGGGTTTGCACAGGAAACTCTGGGCAGCACAGCAGACCCTCACTAGCTCTTCATATAGTCCTCGGGTGGGAAGCAGAGTGGTGGGAGCAATCTGAAAGCACAGGACTGAGGAACAAGGCAGTGAGCTGCTCTGAGTCACCACACTGGGGACTCAGGACCTCAGGGTAACCCTGCCTCTCCCCTCACCTGAGAGCTGGGGGCCAAGGTGGTGAGGTGAATGAGAGTAACCCCAGCTCGCTGGGGCACAGCCCAGTCCCCACAATGCTGGTGTCCTCTTTGCTGCACCCCAGACTGCCCACCCTTACCCAGAGAGGGCTGTGGGCCACTGGGCTTGCTCTGCCTCTAGGGCACTGGGCAGAAGGACCTCCTGTCCACATCTCAGGTAAAGGGAGACTTTACCTATGAAGGGTCAACAGTCAATGGTCCCCCTGTAGCTCAGTCCACTGGGTGCAGCAGAAAGCCTGACAGGATATGCATTCAACAAATGCCTTTGAGAAACAGGTTTGAGTCTGGCCCTCCTGCTGACTTAGTACGGAAACTGACTCCAAGGATGAAGTAAGTCATCCCAAGTCTCAGCTCCAAGGGCACTGGCCAGATGAGCACCCAGACTATGTGATTATCATGCACACGGTCCTAATGCATCATGGTGCAGGCACTGTGAAGAGGGACCCTGTAGCTGGAGGCCACACTGCTGAGGACACACATGACTCAGGGACATTTTGGTGGGGCTTGTTATTCACGCAAGAACTGGTGATGCCCCATTTGGCACCGAGCGCTGCCAGGTCCGCTTCCTTGGTGGGACAAGCTTCCCAGCAGCAGGAAGTCAGCAGTGAAATGCAAGCAGCACTTCTCACAACTCCGCCACAAATCACCCGTGAACTAAAATTTAATAAACCTTTCTCCCAGCAGAAAATCAAACTCAGTTCTTCTGAAAGGCGTTTACTTACTTGAAAATCTCTTTCTTCTAGTATTTCTTTCCTCCATCTCATGAGAAAAGCAGCACAAACGTACAAGTGGAAATGAGAAAAGCCCTCGGGTTCAGACTAAAAGAGAAAAAAAAAAACAAGCGAGAGAGAAATTTTAATGTGGGAGCCATTAGCGTGAGTTTAAAACTCTGAGCGTAAGCAACTCCGGTTATCCAGTCGAGGTTCAGGGAGAACCAAAGCGGGGTTGACTTGCTCACTTTCACTTAATGACTTAATTTCAAAATTCTTGTCGCATTTAAATAAACACTATTTCTCTTTAAGTACCAGCAGTCTGATAAATAGGATGGGAATAGCAGACCAAGCTTTAGGCAACATCAAAAATACTTGTTCATTTTCTTTCCATGCACAGATAGCAGCCAATGGCAATAAAAGGCAAATTCAGGGAGCACTCATTCTATGTCAGACACAGCAGCCAATGAGGAAGCACCCCCATTTTAGAGGGGAAAACAACAGGAGAAGTTGAGGAACTGACCCCGGTGGGACTCCAGGCAAGTGGCAGAGCATCCATGGGAGAGTCCATATACAAGTGATTCTTTTGAGGGGCATTAATAGGGAAGTGGAGCTGCAAGAAGTTGTGGGGTGCACCTGTCTGAATCACACCTCGTGTCTCCTTGCTGTCATCAGATGTGTCCCTCCCCCTGCCCCTTCCTCATCTACTCTCTCCTCCAAACCTTGGACCACTGTGACTTCCTGGAGATCCACCCGCCCTCCCCTCTGGGCCTGCACAGCTTCCATCAAAAATGCCTCTTGTCCCTTGTGGCCACCACATTAGTTCAAAACCACATTGCCAACTGCTGAATCTGGGGGTTCCCCAAACTCCAGTTCTCAGGGTACCACCTTCATAATTCTGCCATGTCCATGTACCGCCTATAGGAAAACATTATTGGCTTATTAAATAAAGAAATACAACATGCATTGCAGAAGATGGTGATATGCTTTGGGGAAAATAAGGCAAGGGAGGATGTGGGAAAGAGCAGAGGTGCTCGTGTGCATTTTCAGCATGGAGTTCGGTCACCTAAAAAGCAGCAGTTCGCACAGAGGAAGTGCTATGTAGACATTGGGTGGGTGGTTAGGGGTGTTTCCTGGTTGACACAGCAAGAGTACAAGACCTTGAAGTCAGAGACTACTTGAGATGTTCCAGAGACATCAAGGAGAATGGCAGGGCTATAGAAGAGCAAGGTTCTGCGTAGGAGCTGAGGCTGGCAGGGAAGGGGCTAGCATGACATACAGATTCTCAGAGCTCCAGCCACTGAATGTTCTTGTAGCCTAGGAAACTCTGAGCAGGGGAAGATGCATGCTTCAAAGGACCCCACTGGCTGTCCCACCGAGAACAGATGAGGCATAGGGAATGGTGGGGACAGGCAGAGCCAAGGGACAGGTTAGGGGACATAGTAATCACAAATTGACAGGTACTGATGATGTGGGTGGGCCAAGAGGGCAGCAAGAAGCTGAGAAGACCTCAAATTCTAGATGTATGCAGAAGGCTGAGCCAGCAAAGGATGCTGATGAATGAGATCTGGGGTGTGAGAGAAAAAAACAAACCAAGGACAACACCAGTATTTTTGACCTCAACAACTGGAAGGAGAATTTTCTCTTGAGGTCAGTTTATGGAAGCTTGAAGGAAAACACATTTGGTATGACAATCGTGGTCTGTTCCTTGGAGATGCCAAGTTTAAGACATTTGTTGGACAACCAAATAAGGTGTCAGGTGGGTCTGGGACCTATGCCTAGAGAGTGGCCTAATGGTTCAGACCAGAAACAGATGCTGATGGCCAAAAGACCTAATGAGTAGCCAGGGAGCTGCAGGAGCCAGAAAAGCCCAACCTGCAGAAGGTCCAGTTGGGACAGGTACTGGGAGGTGACCAGTGGTTTTTCAATGTGGAGGTCACAGGACAGGCAGCCAGGCTGGCTAGAGTGTTAGCAGCTACAGAGAGGAGTATGTTCCATCCACTAACAGCTTGAACAACACCCCTGACTTCCATTTCCTGATTTTAAAGGGTCAGCTGTGGTCAACATTTCACTACAGAAAGTGATGCTTGCCTTAGAAAAGTTCCCTCTACTCTAATTTACTAGAGTTCTTACCGCATGGTCAGGGTTAAGTCAGATGACTTCTGGTGTCAACTGAAATGACAAATTGTCTGCCTTTAATCTGGTAATGGGATAGATGACATAGATATCATATGCCAACCTTGCATTCCTGGAATGAACTCCATCTAGTCACAATGTGTCATGGTTTTTAATCATGGCGAGGTCCAGTTTGCAAATATTTCACGCAGGATTCATGTGATCACTTTTGCAAGATCTGCCTTGAGTTTCTTTCTTGAACTGCCCTGGTCTGGCTGTAGCATCAGGTTGGTTACCTTGTTCCCTCCTTTTCCACTCTCAGGAAGAGTCTGAGATGCAGTCCTTTGAGTGTCTACTGGACAGCTTTGTAAGATAGGCAGGACCTCATGTTTTCTTTATGGAGAGATTTTTTTCTCCTGATTTTTATATGATTATAAAACAATTTGGACTTTCTCAGATTATTGGACAATTTTATTTTTTCCAGGAATTTGTCACCTAAATTTTGAAATTTGTTCATAATATTGTGATTTTCGCTAAATCCCTGTGTATTTGAAGTAATACCTAATTTGAATTTTTTTTTCCTTTTTCTTTTGAGGTAGGGTCTCTCTGTATAGCCCAGGCTGGCCCCAAACTCTGATCCTCCTGCCACCAGCACCCAAGTGCTGGTGTTACAGACATGGACTGCCCGCCCAGCGTCTTATTTATAATTCTTCCTATGACTTTTAGGTGCCTTTTCCCTCATCTTAGTTGTTAACCACATTAGAGATTTTTTTAATTTCAGGTGTCAGTTAAAATAACCAACTTTTGATTCTGATGATCAGTTTCAGTATTTCATTAATTTCTGCTGTTAGCTTTATTGTTTTCCTTCTGCTACTTTGGTTCTCTTTTAGTTTCTTTCTTATGGATATTTTAAGACATACACAAAAGTAAAGTAGCTTCTACTTATTTTTCTCAGTTCTTTTTCTACATTAAGGCAGATGACTAGCTCATTAATGTTTGATTTTTTTCACTTCTGAAATAAGCAAGCATTTCGGCCCATCAATTTCTTTCTAAAGGCCCTCTACAGCCTTTATTATTCCTGACATCCAAAGCTGTTCTACTTTCCTTTATGATTTCCTTATTTGGATCATGGCTTACTTGTCAGTGTATCTTTAAAATCTGTAAGCGCTTGTGGTTCATTCTGGGTTTGTCTCATTAGATTTCAGGTTAGTGATTTGTAACTTCATTGTGCTACAGAGAATGATATGACGATTTATGTGATGCCGACTCTTTAAAGGTGGTTTAGACCTGGGTTTTGAAGAACACAATCAACTTTCACGAATCATTCCATGAGCAGTATTGTTAGAGATCAATGCCATGAGCCCTGCAGTCATAGTGCCTGATCTGCAACAACGTGCCTGGACTCTCTGTGTCTCAGTTTCCTTATTTGTCAGTACTGAGGAGAATAAATTAGTTAAACAATAAAAGCACTTAGGGCAATGCCTGAAATATAGTAAGTGGTATTATAACGTGTTGTATGTGGAGTTCTGGGATACTCGTGCTCTCTATACGTTCATTACATAAGGTTAATCAAGACAGTGGATGTGTCTATCACCCCAAAGTGTCCTTCTCCATTTGCCTCTCAGTGTTGAGGAGACCATGGATCTACTTTGTCACTATGCATTTTACACTTCGTAAACTTTAATAGAAATGGAGAATTGCACAGCATGCACTTTTTTTGGCCTAGCTTCCTTCACTCAGAATTACATTGAAATCCATCTTCAGCACTGCCTGTGCAGTAGTCATCAACACTGGGCAGTATTCCACTGCATAGACACACCATGATGGGTTCACCCATTTCCCTTCTGTGGATGAACATTAAGTTCCCTCCAGCTGGCATTAGGGAAATGCAAAAGAAATTAAAACCATATTTGCATTTCCCTTGTGACAAGTGACCGGGTATCTTTTAATGTTATCTGACATTTTTTGATATTCAGATTTTTTTAATCAGTTGTTTGTTTCCTATCATTGAGTTTGATAGTTGTTTTCTACATATTCTGCATATTAAGGCTTTATTGGACACGTGATTTGAAAATATTTGCTTCCAACACAGAACTTGTTTTTTCATTCTCTTAACAGTGATTTTTGAAGAATATAAATTTTAAATTTTGATGGAGTTCAATTTATTACTTTGCTCTTTTATGAATCATGCTTTTGGTGTCAAATCTAAGAAATCCTTCCCTGAGTCAAAGGCACAAAAGCTTTTCTTCTAGAAGTTTTATAGTTTTAAGTTTTACCTTTAGGTCTATGATCTACTTTGAGGTGATTTTTGCACAGGGTATAGAATATGAATTGAGGTTTGTTCATATGCACATGGATGCTGCTCCAGCAATCTGTCCAAAGACTGTCTTTCTCTACTGGGGCAAAAATCACACAGTTCTAATCTTTCATTTTTGTTCTTTTTCAAAGTTTTGCATTTCTACGTGAATTTTAGCACCAGTTTGTCAACTTCTACAAAAAAGCTTGGTGGTGTTTTTGACTGGAATTGCACTAGACCTACAGATCAACTGAGGTAGGGGATTAGCATTTTAGCAACATTGAGTCTTTGGCTCAAGATCATGCTGTGCCTCATTATTTAGGTCTTTTTTATCTTCGTCAATGCCTTACAATTTTAGGGTTCAGGTCTGTTACATCTTTTGTTAGATTTTCTTTAAAAAGTTTGTGTTTTTGATGATAATGAAAATGATGTTTGGAATCTTTCACTTTTTGACTTCTGCTAGCTGTTGGTTAATGTCTAGGAGATATTATAAAATCCTTCACTTCCACCTCATCTGTGTCCTTACAATCCTCTCATAACAAGCACAGTGGTGGACTTTTTAGTCCAGTATGGTCCCAAACTTTAGATTAGCTTGCATCTTCTTATTCTGATGCTTCCATTTGTTCTATTTTTTTCTGTTTTTCTTTCTAGCTGCAATGTGGATATACTTTTCCTTGGAATTCTAATGCCCTACCTG